CAGAAAGAGAAAGAAAAATACCATATATCACTTATACGTGAAATCTAAAAAAAAAAGACACAAACAAACTTATTTACAAAACAGAAACAGACTCACAGAGATGGAAAACAAACTTACGATTACCAGGGCAAGAAAGAAGGTGGGAAGGAATAAGTTGGGAGTTTGAGATTTGCAGATACTAACTGCTATGTATAAAATAGATAAACAACAAGTTTCTACTGTGTAGTGCAGGGAACTATAGTAACCTATAATGTAAAAGTAACATATGATGAAAAAGAATATGAAAAGGAATATACGTATGTATATGTATGACAGAAACATTATGCTGTGCACCAGAAATTGACATAACATTGTAAAGTGACTAAACTTCAATAAAAAACAAAAGAAAACAAACTGCTGCAGATGGTGAATGGGGTGAGCCTGATCATTTTGTCTGAGCTGGGGACGCTGCATTCCTCCACAGTGAAGATGGAGAAGTCATCCCAGGCCCTGGCTGGGGCTTGATTCTGGGGGTGGGGTGGGGGAGTGGCACTGGTTTAAGATACTGAGTTCTGCTGGTTGGGAGGCCCTCCATATTATACCTCAGCTGGCCCACCTGCTGTCAGCCTCCTCCCAGCGGATGAGAAAGGGGAGGGGATGGTTTCAGGGAATAAGAGCACCTTCTAGTAATAATTGATTATTCAGGGCCAGAGGCCAGGGGAGGGGGTCTGCACATGACCCAACCTCACCCCCTGCACTTCTTAAGATCATCATTGCCCCTAAAGGTGAACAGAGAACAAAGGGTATTGTTTTAAACTCTCCCAGTTGAAAATAGCCCTAACAGCAAGCCCAAGCCTGGGGGCAGGGAGGCGCAGGGCAGTATTTTTTTTTTTTTTAAAAAGTACTCCTTTGGGTCAGGATAACTGGGATCTTGACCAGCTGTCACTAACAGCCAGTGTCACCTTTGGCAAACTGCTCCACCCCAGGAGGCCTGAGGGAGGAGGAGCTATGATGAATAAGTACCTTTTGGATTCAAAACAATGTACGTATTTACTTTATGGGGCCTCCAGCAGACCTGTGTCTGTGGCAAACTTTAAGTGACTTAATCTCTTCAGGTCAGAGGTGAAGGAGGACTTGCTTGCTGGGAAGGTGTCTGGTAAAAGCAGTGCCAGTCCACAGCGCCCCCCTCTAGGGGAGACCAGGGTAACTGTAGGGACATGAACTGGGCTGGGGGAGAGGGTCTGGGAGGCCCAAGAAGGGGAGTGTCCCAAATGCCATGGACTCCCAGACTACTGTCCCCTCCCAACCTACCTATCCCTGAGTGCCTGCTGTGATGTCCTGCAGTGTCTTTGGTCCTGTGCCCACTGCACCCTCCCTCAGCGAGAGTTATGCAGTCTTGAACAAGTCACTTCACTTCTCTGAGCCTCAGTGTACTTATCTGAAAACTGGGGACAATATCTCAGTCCTCAGGGTTAAGAAATTCAAAGGAGATCAAGTTGTGAAAGCACTTTGTAAACAGTACGGTTACCCAAGAGAGGTGCCCAGGTTAAAGTCCTCGCTGTCCCTTCTACTGCAGGATCACTGCAGTGTGTCTAATGTCCCCAGACCCCAGGGTGCTTCAGCCCTGTCTGGTCCTCATTCTAATTTCTGGTCATCCGATATCCCCATTTCCATCCCCATGGAACTCTTGCCAAATCAGTATCTCAGGCAGGCTTGAGTCTCCGCCTCTTCCTGGGGATGAGAAGTGTGGCCTGAGACACTGATGACCCCATGGGTGCTGGCATCAGGAACCAGGGCAAGTCAGGTTGAATTGAGCATGTATGTTTTCTTCTCTTCCTTATCAGTGTATTTCATTTTTTTTGTTTTGTTTTTTGTTTTTTTTTTTACTATTTTTTATTGATTCATAATCATTTTACAGTGTTGTGTCAATCA